CACTTTGTTGAATCTTGTGAACGCTCTAATGACAACAGTTATCATCCGATCTGTTTGAAATTGATATGCATCATTTAAATTAGTGAAATGAAGAACCCTATTGAATTTCAGCAATTTCGGTTAATTTCTTCTGGAGTTATGGCCCTTGTTTCACTTTGTTGAATGTTGTGAACGCTCTAATGACAACAGTTATCATCAGATCTGTTTGAAATTGATATTGAATTGATATTTCAGCAATTTCTGTTAATTACGCCATGAGTTATGGCCCTTGTTTCACTTTGTTGTACCTGGTAAATGCTCTAACGACAAAAGTTATTATCCGATCTGTATGAAATTTATATGTAGCCTATCATTTAAATTAGTAAAACGAACAAGCCTATTGAGTTTCAGTTATCACCTAAATTAGCCTATTGAATGTCAGAAATTTCTGTCAATTACGTCTAGAGCTATGGCCCTTGATTTACTTTGTTGAACTTTGTGAACTTTCAAACAACAAAAGTTATCATCCGATCTGTATGAAATTTATATGCATTATTTGAATTAGTAAAACGAAAAAAGCCTGTCGAATTTCTGTAGATTGCTTCCAGAGTTACGGCCCTTGTTTTAGTTTTAGAACCTTGCGTGAACCTTCAAACAACGAAAATTATAATATCATCTGTATGAAATTGTCTATTAAATTCTCCTAATTACCTACAAAAGAATAAATATGTGACAACCCTTGTCAACTGCTCAGACGATTTAGCTGCTGTGGGCGTATGTTTTGTTGCCTGGCAACCTATCTTTATTAGGTGGATGTCTTGATGGAGTATGAAGATTACATTTTCTGCTTAGGCTAAGCTTAAATTTGCAGTTTGCTTGGTCAATGCTTCGGAATGCGAGTCACGAATGCGAGTGATAAAACTTGGTAGATAGTTTTATTACATCAATACCTTGATAAACAATTTGATTGGTCGATGCTTTAGAACAAGATAACTTTGGATTCTAATTGAGTTAGAGTAATGGAACTTAGTAAATATTTGGCCCCCACCTTTTGAAGAAAGCAGGAGACTATTAAAAAGGGTGTGTTCGTCTATCTGTCTGTCTGTCTGTCACACTTTTTGGGACACAATAACTTTTGTTCTAATTGAGCTAGAATGTTCAAACGTAATCTTCAAACTAAGCAGTTTAATTTGTCGATGCTTCTGGATGTGAGTCACGAATGAGAGTGATAAAACTTGGAAAATAGTTTTATTACATCAATACATTGATAAACAATTTGATTGGTCGATGCTTTAGAACATGATAACTATTGATTTTAATTGAGTGAGAGTGGTGGAACTTGGTGTAGGCATTGATTAGGTGAATGCCTTGATGGAGTTCGAAGATGATCATTTTCTACTTGGGTAAGCAGAGATAAGCAATTTGATCGGTTGATGCTTTGGGACACGATAACTGTAGTTCTAATTAAATAAGAGTGATGAAACTTGATGTATAGTTTCATTACATCAATACCTTGACTAATTTTGATAATGAGCAATTCCACTAATATTAACTGTTAACGCCTTGTAATTTGAATGAAAGTAGATGGATTTATTAAACCATCAAGGCCATTTTCTTATTTTATCAACAGCTCTTTCAGTTTCAAACAAATGTAATGGACTATAATCAGCCGATTAAGATCCCTGGTTTTAAATCTTTTAGTGTGACATTACTGAACACAGAAATAATAGTTTCCAATATATAGACTTGTGAAAGCAATATGATTGACAGACTTTGATTAAGTTTGATAATGAGCACTTTCTTCTCTAGGTAAGCAGACCGATAAGCAATGCGATTGGTCGAAAACTTTTATTCTAATTGAGTGATAGTGGTGAAACTTTGTGTATTGTTTCATTACATCAATAACTTAACAAAGTTCAATGCTGAGCATTTTCTGCTTAGGTAAAGTAGAGACTTCCATCTGATTGGTCGAGATTTTGGAACACAATAACTCTCCTTTTAATTGAGGTAATAGAACGTTAAACTCCATTTCATTTTTATACGCCCACATTGAAATGTGGACGTATATTACCGTCGCCCCCGTCCTTCGGTCCGTCTGTCCGTCCATCATCCACAATTTCTTGTGAACGCTCTATCGCCAAAAGTTATCATCCAATTGTTTTAAAATTGATATATGTTTACATTAGTGAGATGAAGAAGCCTATTGAATTTCAATAATTTGTGTTTATTGCGTCTAGAGTTATGGCCCTTGTTTCACTTTGTTGAAACTTGTGAACGCTCTAATGACAAAAGTTAATATACGATCTTTGTGAGATTTATATGCAATATCTAAGTTAGTGAAATGAAGAAGCCTATTGAATTTCAACAACTTAGAGTTATGGCCCTTGTTTCACTTTTTTCAACCTTGTGAACGCTCTAATTCCAAAAGTTATCATCCGATCTTTCTGAAATTTACATGCATTATTTAAATTAGTGATACGAAAAAGCCTACTGAATTTCAGCAATTTCCGTTTATTACGTCTAGAGTTATGGCCCTTGTTTCACTTTATTGAACCTTGTGAACGCTCTTACGTCAAAAGTTATCATCCGATCTTTCTGAAATTTATATGCATTATTAAGATTGCTGAAACAAAAAAGCCTATTGAATTTCAGCAATTCCCGTTTATTACATCTAGAGTTATGGCCCTTGTTTCACTTTATTGAACCTTGTGAACACTCTCACGTCAAAAGTTATCATCCGATCTTTCTGAAATTTATATGCATTATTTAGATTGCTGAAACAAAGAAGCCTATTGAATTTCAGCAATTCCCGTTTATTACATCTAGAGTTATGGCCCTTGTTTCACTTTATTGATCCTTGCGAACACTCTAACGTCAAAAGTTATCATTCGCTCTTTCTGAAAATTATATGCATTATTTAAATTAGTGAGACGAAGAATCCTATTAAATTTCAGCAATTTCTGTTTATTACGTCTAGAGTTATGGCCCTTGTTTCACTTTATTGAACCTTGTGAACGCTCTAACTCCAAAAGTTATCATCCAATCTTTCTGAAATTTACATGCATTATTTAAATTGGTGAAACGAAGAAGCCTATTGAATTTCAGCAATTTCCGTTTATAACATCTAGAGTTATGGCCCTTGTTTCACTTTATTGAACCTTGTGAACGCTCCAACTCCAAAAGTAGTCATCCGATCCTTCTGAAATTTACTTGCATTATTTAAATTGGTGAAATGAAAAAGCCTATTGAATTTCAGCAATTTCCGTTTATTACATCTAGAGTTATGGCACTTGTTTCACTTTATTGAACCTTGTGAACGCCCCAACGCCAAAAGTTATCACCCGATTATTGTGAAATTTATATACATGATTTAAATTAGTGAAACGAAAAAGCCTATTGAATTTCAGCAATTTACAATAATTACTTCTAGAGTTATTGCCCTTGTTTCACTTTGTTAAACCTTGTTAATGCTCGATTGATGATAGTTATCATCCGATATGTATGAAATTTATATGCATCATTTAATTTTGGGAAACAGGTGTATTGAATTTCAGCAATTTCCGTCGATAATTTCTAGAGTTATGGCAATTGTGAACGTTTGAATGACAAAAGTGAACATGTGATCTGTATGAAATTTATATGCATTATTTAAATTAGTAAAACGAAAAAGCCTGTCAAATTTCAACAATTTCTGTAGATTACTTCCAGAGTTGAGACTCTTGTTTCAGTTTGTAGAACCTTGTAAACCTTCAAACGACAAAATTTATTATCTGATCTGTATGGAACTGTCTTGTAAAGGCCCCAAATTACCTGCAAAGGAATAAATATGCGACAACCCTTGACGACCGCTCGAACGATTTAGCTGCTGTTGGCATATGTTTTGTTGCCTGGCAACCTATCTTATTTCTTACTGAGGTAGAACGTTCAAACTTGGTGTAGGTGTCAATTAGGTGAATGCCTTGACAGAGTTCCATCATGCACATTTTCCACTAATTTTTAAGACTAAGCCGAGATATACAATTTGAATGGTTGAGACTTTGGAACACGATAACTTTGGTTCTAATTGGATGAGAGAGATGAAACTCTTAGTATATATTCATTATATTCTTGCCATGATTAAGTTCGATGGTGAGAATTTACTGCTTAGTTTAAGGAACAATAAGCAATTTGATTGGTCAAGACTTTAGAACATAACAACTCTGCTTTTAATTGAGGCAGAATGTTAAAACTTGATGTAGATGTTCATTAGGTGAATGTCTTGACTGAGTTAAATGATTAACATTTCCCAATAAAGTTAAGCAGAGCTAAGTATTTTCATTGGTCAATGCTTTGGGACAAGATAACTTTGATTCTAACTGATGGAGCTTGTTGAAACTTAGTGTATTGTTGGATTTCAGCGGGGGACATCAACCTCACTGTTGGCTTGTTTGTGGACACTCTACAGGTCACTATTTTATCCGATTTTGACAGAACTTGAAATAAAGGTTTATATCCCAATGATCTCTGGTCCTTTCGATATTGGCATGTAACATCCTGGATTATGGCCCATTCTTGTATGGAAATGGATGGCAACAGCTTGTTTGTTTATGCTTTGGGGCTGTCGTGTCTTTCTATCCATCACATTTTTGAAAACAATAAATGTGCAGTTAATAAATGTGTGTCATCTATTCTTTTTGGGATTTTTTTGGGGGGTGGGGGGAGGCTCGATATCAATCTCATTGTTGGCTTATTTAAATCGAACATTGTCAAATCAGATTCATATGTAATTATCTACATAATTGATATTTTATTCACTTTTCCAATTTGACCTATGGGCAGGAAAGATGGAGAACCTACAGAAAATATTTTATTCTAGAAATCTTATATTTTTATGAAGTTAATGTGATTGGATTATTTGAGTTTTCTTTCTATTTCACAGGTAACTGGCACCGGTATGATGGATTTTGTTATCAGAAAAAGCATGATTTATTGTCAAATATAAAAAGCTTCTTCAAATTAGATGATGTAAATCAATTAAAAAATGATGTAGGAGAAGCTGTTCATTATTTTGTTTTTCCATTGTTGGAGAAATCATTTAGACTTGTAAAAGATGAAGACGCTATTACATTGCAAGAACTTGGTGGAAATATTTTTATGATCTTACATAGTTTAAGACTGCAAGTGATGGATTACCCGAAAGATTGTGTAGATGAAAATACTTTCAAAAAGGTATACATCTTATTTTGTCACATCAGCATTTAATAATCTATATATATTAATTCACCTAGAGTGTTTTTAAAATTTCTTAAGAATCGGCTGATATCTTTGCTTCTAATTGAGTGGGGAGCTTAAGCGTACAAAAGTTTCTGAGATAAAAAACTGGATAATTAGGCTTTGATATTTATGGTAAATATTAAAAAAACATTGTCTTGTATATGCAATGAATTCTCTCCTGGCTTCGCACCCGTTGCTAGGTACTGCGTCATCCAAGTCACGTGACACAAACATGACTTGTTTTAATAGATCTATTATAGCAGGGGTATTTCCTCAAAAATACAGGAGGATTTGAAGCAAAATTTTGATAGATTAATTAGTTTGAATATGTTTTTAGTCCAAATATATCATCAAATCACCCAGTTTATATACGCAGGAACGTATATCTTTAATGTTTCGTCTATTTGTTCCGGGGATTGAGATAGGGGAAATCAGTCTGCTCACTGTTGGCTGGTTGTACTTGTGATGGTACAGGAGTTGGTGTTCTATTTTATTGTATGCTCTCATTTTCCTTTGGACATATATAATTGTTGTCGCCCCTGTCCGTCTGGACCTCCTAGTATCTGTCAGTCCTTTCACATTTGTTTGTGAACATTCTACAAGTCACAATTTTATTCCGATTTTGACAAAACTTGAAATATAGGTTTATATCGCAAAGATCTTGGTTCCTTTCGACATTGACATTCGTGGATTATGGCTCCTGATTGTACAAAAAATCACGTTTTTATACGCCCACATGGAAATGTGGTCGTATATTGCCGTCGCCCCCGTCCGTCCATTTCTTGTGAACACTCTACAGACTACATTTATCAACCGATTGTTTTGAAATTGATATATGTTGTTTGCATTAGTGAGATGAAGAAGCTTATTTAATTTCAATAACTTCCGTTAATTTCTTCTGGAGTTATGGCCCTGGTTTCACTTTGTTGCCCCTTGTGAACGCTCTAATGACAAAAGTTATCAACTGATCTGTATGAAATTTATATGCATCATTCAAATTAGTAAAACAAAGAAGCCTATTGAATTTCAGCAAAATCCGTTAATTACATCTAGAGTTATGGCCCTTGTTTCACTTTGTTGAATCTTGTGAATGCTCTAATGACAAAAGTTATCAACCGATCTCTATGAAATTGATATGCATCATTTAAATTAGTGAAATGAAGAAGCCTATTGAATTTCAGCAATTTCCGTTAATTTCTTCAGGAGTTATGGCCCTTGTTTCACTTTGTTGCACCTTGTGAATGCTCTAACGACAAAAGTTATCAACCAATCTGTATGAAATTTATATGCATCATTTAAATTACTAGAACGAAGAAGCCTATTGAATTTCAGCAATTTCCGTTAATTACATCTAGAGTTATGGCCCTTGTTTCACTTTGTTGAATCTTGTGAACGCTCTAATGACAAAAGTTATCAACCGATCTCTATGAAATTGATATGCATCATTTAAATTAGTGAAATGAAGGCGCCTATTGAATTTGAGCAATTTCCGTTAATTTCTTCTGGAGTTATGGCCCTTGTTTCACTTTTTTGCACCTTGTGAACGCTCAAAAACGTTAAAAGTTATCAATTGATCTGTATGAAATTTACATGCATCATTTAAATTAGTAAAACAAAGAAGCCTATTGAATTTCAGCAATTTCCGTTTATTATGTCTAGAGTTATGGCCCTTGTTTCACTTTGTTGAATCTTGTGAACGCTCTAATGACAACAGTTATCATCACATCTGTTGGAAATTGATATGCATCATTTAAATTAGTGAAATGAATAAGCCTATTGAATTTCAGCAATTTCCGTTAATTTCTTCTGGAGTTATGGCCCTTGTTTCTTCTGAACACTCTACGGACTACATTTATCATCTGATTGTTTGCAAATTGATATATGTCGTTTGCATTAGTGAGATGAAGAATTTAATTTCAAGAACTTCCGTTAATTTCTTCTGGAGTTATGGCCCTTGTTTCACTTTGTTGCACCTTGTGAACGCTACAACGACAAAAGTTATCAACCAATCTGTATGAAATTTATATGCATCATTTAAATTAGTAAAACAAAGAAGCCTATTGAATTTCAGCAATTTCCGTTTATTACATCTAGAGTTATGGCCCTTGTTTCACTTTGTTGAATCTTGTGAACGCTCTAATGACAACAGTTATCATCCGATCTGTTTGAAATTGATATGCATCATTTAAATTAGTGAAATGAAAAAGCCTTTTGAATTTCAGCAATTTCCGTTAATCACGCCGTGAGTTATGCCCCTTGTTTCACTTTGTTGTACCTTGTAAATGCTCTAACGACAAAAGTTATTATCCGATCTGTATGAAATTTATATGTATCATTTAAATTAATAAAACGAACAAGCCTATTGAGTTTCAGTTATCACCTAAATTAGTGAAATGAAGACGAACAAGCCTATTGAATGTCAGAAATTTCCTCAATTACGTCTATAGAGTTATGGCCCTTGATTTACTTTACTGATTTAGTGAAATGAAGAAGCCTATTGAATGTCAGCAATTTCTGTCATTTACTTCTAGAGTTATGGCCCTTGTTTTACTTTGTTGAAGCTTGTGAACTTTCGAACAACAAAAGTTATCATCCGATCTGTATGAAATTTATATGCATTATTTGAATTAGTAAAACAAAAAAAGCCTGTCGAATTTGAACAATTTCTGTAGATTGCTTCCAGAGTTACGGCCCTTGTTTTAGTTTTTAGAACCTTGTGAACCTTCAAACAACGAAAATTATAATGTCATGTGTATGAAATTGTCTATTAAATTCCCCTAATTACCTACAAAAGAATAAATATGTGACAACCCTTGTCGACTGCTCGGACGATTTAGCTGCTGTGGGCGTATGTTTTGTTGTTGTTTCATCGAAATCGGATCAAACTTGTGACCTCCAGAGGGTCCACAACCTTGATATTCCATATTTACGTACAAGAAGTTTTGGTCTGATTTTCACGAAATTCGAACTCAACCATCATTATTTTCAATTTTTCAAGTTACTAACTTGAATTTTCAAGATACTAACTTGAATTTTCAAGTTACCAACTTGAATATTCAAATTAGGTTACTTGAATTTTCAAGATACTAACTTGAATTTTCAAGTTACTAACTTGAATTTTCAAGATACTAACTTGAATTTTCAAGATTCTTACTTGAATTTTCAAGTTACTAACTTGAATTTTCAAGATACTAACTTCAATTTTCAAGTTACTAACTTGAATTTTCAAGTTACTAACTTGAATTTTCAAGATACTAACTTGAATTTTCAAGATACTAACTTGAAGTTACTAGTTACTTTTATCCGTTACATATCCGTTACATTTCTTGTAGCCTATATTTGTGTCAAGACTGCTGTGTGGGCGTATTATCTTTCTTGTTAGGCCTTTTACTACCAGGAATTTTCAAGTTATTGACTTACAGGCTTTAAAATTTAGAAAAGAATAAATTAATGGCCCTATTACGCTTCCGTAGAATTAACAGAGGACGAAAGAGTATTGCGTTTATACTCAGCTCTGATCAAAAAAAAACATGTCTTCTCTTCATAAACTGGCAGTATTGACCTAAATAAATGAATGAGTGAATGTTGTTTATAGCACGTCGACACCGTAAATCATGTCAATCTACGTGTTATCGCCGATAATCTGCTTATGTTTTGGGAGTACCCCTAAGTGATCGGATAGGCTGCCCCCACACCTTGTCACTTAGATAGCAGAGAATGGGACTCGAACCCTCAACACCATTGATGGCAGACCAAGGCGTAGCCTATCGGCCACCCGACCCTCTCCCCAAGAGTCGCCTTCTAGGACACGCTAGGAATGGGGCGATGGACACATTTTACTATCTAACTCTGTACTATTGACCTGTAAAATAATGCACTGTAAAAAATTTATATTTATTTTACATTGTACCTCGTAACGTCCAGGGTTCTAAAGGGTGGGGGTGGGGGATGGCAGAGATGTCCTAGGGGGCAAATGTTCCAGAGGAATAATGTCCGGGGGGGGGGGGACTCTGTCCTTAGGAGGGTGGGGGCGTGGGAGATATCCAGGTGGGGTGGTAGGGGGGATGTCGTGTATTACGTCAATAAAGACTATTTTTAGAACATTTAATTTTTTTTTTTGTACTTCAAAAAGGTTTTCTATAGGGCTCAAAACTGTTAAAATGAATGAATGAATAGTGTGTTTTATGGCACGTCGACACCGTAATAATCTGGTCAATTTGCGCCAATCTATGTGCTATCGGAGATGATTTGCCTAATGCGCGGGGAGTAAATTCGCTCCAGGGGGAAACCGGAGTACCCGGAGGAAACCTGCGTGATCGAATAGGCTACTCCCGCACCTTGTCATTGAGGTCGGCGAGAACAGGATTCGTACCTCGACCCCATTGATGACAGACCGACCACCCTCAAAACTGTTGGACTAGTAGAATAGAATTTAATGAGATGATTTAAACTAAAGGCAGAACACTAACACATTTAGAACTTAGAATAAGGCCTTTTTTGAACCAGCGAGAGTGGAATTGTCCAATTTAGTATCTTGAAAATTCAAGTTAGTATCTTGAAAATTCAAGTTAGTATCAATTTAGTATCTTGAAAATTCAAGTTAGTATCTTGAAAATTCAAGTTAGTAACTTGAAAATTCAAGTTAGTATCTTGAAAATTCAAGTTAGTAACTTGAAAATTCAAGTTAGTAACTTGAAAAATTGAAAATAGAATAATAAAAAAAATATGTGGCCCTATTATGCTTCCGTATTATGGTGTAATGGTGATATATTCTAATGTGTTTTTTTTTTTAATCGGATATATGCGCTAATATCAAAAGGAACTGAGATCCTTGGGTTATAAACCAGTGACAGGATTTCTAAATTTTTCTTGTTAGGACATTTTACTGAAAATAAAGGGGCATAACTCAACAAAATATTCAAATAACATACGTAATAAAAATATGTGGAGCTCGC